AATTTTATCTTCTATATGAAATTCTGTGCTCAAAATGGCTCATTCTGCTGCATAAACTTTCAATTGAGTTTTTAATCTCCTGGCAATCTGTTTGCATCTGTTTTATGGATTCCGTTTGTTTCCTATGTTGGGAATCCATCATGTTCTTCAGCTCCTCTATTTTTTTATCTGTGTCCTCTAGATTTATTAATCATGACTTACACTATGGGCACAGTCTCTGCTGTTATGTGTGAAACTATTTCTGATTTCATGTTTTCCAGATCCTCTTTTGTTGCTAGTTCAGGGAGTCCAATCAGTGTTTGATCCCGTTTCCCTTTGGGGTTGCTTTAGGTTAACGTCTGGTTTTGAGACTTGTTTACATGTCTTTTCATTTCAATGTAGGGCCAGTGTGTGCTGCTCACGCCCCTGCACCTCACCTCTTTAGGGTTGGAGGCAACAGTAAGGTGGCCTGCAAGCCTCCTCCTGGGAGCTCAGGGCAGTTCACCTTGTCTGTGCTGGGGGCAGAGGTACGGTGGCCTGAAATCCTCATGTAGTGCCAGTATTAACAAAGGTAAATTGAATTGTCTAGGTTCTGTTTGCATAATCATCATTAGCCCATAATGCCTATGTTTTTGTCCTATGCTACACTTATTTGGGTATAGATGTTCCTCACCTTATGACCATATTATGTCCCAGCAAAACCATTGTAAATTGAAAATATTTTAAGTGAAAAATTCATTTAAAACACTTAATATGTCAAGTATCCTGTCTTAGCCACACACACACACACACACACACACACACACACACAAACACACAGCATGGGTTATTTCTCGTGAGCCTATGTCTGTCTGGGGGGCTGTTGTCACTTCTGTTGCTGCTTGCATCACCAGGGGCTAGTATTCTATGTGTTGTTACCACTAGCTCGGGAAAAGATCCAAAATTGAAATACCAAATATGGTTTCTAATGAATGCATGTATCACCTCTGCTTCTTGGTAAAGTTGGAAAAAAAAATCATAATTTGGGAACTATGTTTAGGATGGAAATCTGGCTCAATGAAAGTAATAGATTAAACAAATAATTTTATATTAAAATCCATAACATTAAAGTAATAGCATTTTTAACTTTAAAATGACCAGTCCTGACAAAAGAGAGCGCCTTATCTCCTTATTTAAGGAATAAATTCTCTGAATGAAACCTCAACTTCTTGCAATTTATAAGATCTTTTCTTGATTTGAAAATCTGAATCTTTTGAGTTTTTATGGTAAAATGAATACCTCATCATCTCTTCAGATGCTGTATCTTTAAACTTCATGAAGAGCATTTAGACTGCATTGTTTAGGCTTATTTTTAGTATGTTTCTGTTGGACCTGTAGAACCAACTCCTGCATTGTTGACTTTTCCTTTCTTGGCCCAGAGAGAGCCTTTCTAAGTAGACTTGAAGTTTGCCCTGAAAAGAGTCCATTATTACTGTTTAAGATAAATTTGATAAATGTATTTTTAAAAAATATATAGTAAGAGAAATTCACATTTTTGTTGGCTTAGGATCATTTAATTGCCTAAGGTAATTCATTTAAGGTAACCTTAACAATTTGCTTGTCTGCATTAACCTTATGGCTACCTACTGTAAACTAAGATTTGGGATGAAAGACTATTTAAGATTTTGTTTATTGTTTTTAATAATTCCGAAGCATTTACTGAAGCCTTGAATCAGTTGAGGCATTTAATAAAAGTTGAATAGAGTAATAAGACATTCAGTTTCTTACAAAAGTTTTCTGGCTTTGTGGAGTTCAATCTAGTAGAAGAGGCAGTAATGCAAATTATTACGCTCTTCCCTTGTACTGACTTCTTACTCTGCTGCCAGCTGTTTGTTTACATGTAGAACTAGACTATTTGAATGTCAATACTCTCTTGAGAAATTATTCAGTTTACCTGTAATGCAGAATCTTCATTTGGAAAATGGGAATAATAGCAGATTCTACTGCTATGAATTAGGACCATTAAGATTTTGTTGACAACAAACCCAGGTCCAGAACATTGGATCATTTTGTGCTTCAGATGAAATACCAGCACTGTGCTGTGATCTTTGGCAACCAGGAAGTAGCATAAAAGAAAGGTGAGCTGGATTATTTGAGGGGAACTAGGAGGCACCTAGCAGGTGGTAGGCAGAATACAGTAATGGTCCCCCAAAGATAATCCTAATGCCTCCAGCCTGTGATTGTGTTACTTTATGTGGCAGAGGGGCTTTGCAAAGTAATTAAGTTCAGGTTCTAGTGATGGAAGATGATTTGTATTGCCCTAGGGTAGTGAAAAGCAGTATCCTTATCAGAATAGGAAAATCAGAGTGTCAGAAAATAAAGATCAGAGTGCTAATTGCTGTAAGTGGGCCAGGGTCCAGGGCAGGTGGGCTGCCTCCCGAAGGTGGAAAGCTGAGGGATATGTCCTCCCTGGAACCTGCCGAGGGGTGCAGCCCTATTTTGACATCTTGATTTTAGCCCTGTAGGTCTATATTAGACTTCGGACAACTATAAGATGATACATTTGTATATTTATATTGTTTTAAATTACTAAGTTTATGGTAATTTCTAACAGCTATAATAGGGAACCAATTTAGCTGCAAAGGATAAATGATGCCAAATAGCTATATCAAGTAGCCAGTCCTTCCTTTGCATGTAAATAATTAAACTATGCACCATTTTCTCCTTAGGCCTGTTTTATAATAATATATTTTTATATTGGGTTCTTTTCTTTTTTTCTCCTTTTTTTTCTGGTACCAGGGGTCAAACTCAGGACCTTGTGCTTGTGAGGCAGGTGCGGTGCCACTGAGCTAAATCCCGGGCCTATATTGGGTTCTTTATAACCACAGTTAACCATATTTTGCTTTGCATAGTAATTATTTACATAACCATTTTATTTTTACCACTGAGTATAAGTTTGATGGCAGAAGGGTCTTATTCCTATTCATCTTTGTTTTCCTCCATTGTAGCACCAAGTGGTGGTGTTATCTTTTAGATCTAAGATCATAGAGCCTCAGGTGATTGGATTATGGGGTCATTATAGCTGACTTGCTGTAAGGTGGCTGGAAGAGGTGGGTCACTATGGGGGTGAATCGGAAAGGCGCAGCTCCCTTCCTGGGCCCCCCCTTGAGTCTCTCTGCTTCCTGGCTGCCATGAAGTGAGTAGCTTCTCCTCTGCGGTGCTGTTACTTCTCTGGAGCCAGGCAACCAGGTACTGAAACGTGAACCAAAATAAATCTCTGCTTTTTTAGGTTGTGGGTGTCAAGTATTGTGTCCCAGTGACAAGAAAAGTGACTTAAGATAAATGGTGTTATATAATAGTGTCTGTTTATAAAAACATAGACATAGAGATAGAACGCTACTTCCTTGTCCTAAGTTCAAATTTTGAAAAAAGTCATGTAATTCCAGTGTGTCTCTCTTTATTCACCTCTAAAACAATGCTAAAAAAGTACCTTATGTTACCATGAAAATGAAGTCTGACATTTTGTAAGCTACGGCATTAAAGAGTCTGTTACTTATATTCCTTAACTACGCCATTAAAGAGTCTGTTAGTTACTTATATTCCTTAATTTAAATGCAGAAAGATATACAGTTTGAAATACATATGTTTTGCAATGATTAGCATGATAATAAATCTTGTTTATATTCTTAAAGGGAGCTAGATAACAAAATGTATTTTTTTAAAAAACACAGGACACAAGTCTTGATATTTATTTCATAAAGCCAAACCTTAAAAATGAATGATTAATATAAACCTTTGTATTGTATGCCAGAGGGATCTCTAATATCTTTGAAGCTCTGTTAATTTAAGAAATGTCAATTATAGGTAAAGGCAGTGTTTTTTCTTTGGCATCAGTAGCATTAATAATATATTATAAGAATAATTCCCAAAGATCAGGCATTTTGTAGTTATATACATTTTCCTACTGTGCCACCAAAGTAGTTACTATAGACCAGTGATTAGCTATGTACTTTAGTGTGTTAAGTCAGTCTCCAAATTTTAGTTTGAGGATCCTCTCTTAGCAGCTTACTATGTTAGTTAGTCCTGTCAGGAAACAGATAGCACGTTGAAAAGGGGCTGATTAAAGAGAATTTACTGCAGGGACTATTTATGAGGTATAGGAAGGACTAAGGTAAACCAGCAGGGTACAGTGTAACATCCTGGGGTTAATGGCTAGCAATAGTGAGAGTCTTCACTGTAGTAGGATTGAAGGGAGGGGGTGTGAGGAGTAGAGGCAGTTACCAAATGCTTCAGGGAGAGAGCCCCTCACAGGAATGCACACTTCGGTGGTACATGAAAAATGCTACCAAGGAGGCTGTGGTGCGAATGTCCCCTCCTCTTGCAGGTGCTTCCTGTTGGCTAAAGCACAGTTAGAAGCCAGGGCCAAGGGAGTCTGGTTGATGTAGTCTACAGGTCAGCCTCTTGAGGACACAGAGTTGGGTAGACACTGACAGAGTAGATTTATGGGACAAAAAGAGACAACCCGGGTCCCAGAACTATGCTTTCTGGCTTGGAAGTCTGTGCTCTTTCTACAGTAACACCTTTCCTATTACAGCTAATCCTTCCTGCTCACCGTTCTTCACATAATCACTTAATAAACTTTTTAACTTACTGTTTTCTATAGAATAGGGGAAGTTTTTAGCTTGTTAGGTTACTATTACATAAACAGTGGGATTAAAGAGCAATATTTGAAAGTTAAAAGCCAAAGACGCTGCACTGTGGTGAGTAGCATAGTGCCACCTTAGTTGCTTTCCTGATGTAGAGCAGGAGAGACAAAGGGATAACAGCTAGAAGAAGGCAGCAGAGATTAGAGATGAAAGTTAACTGTTGTACTTAAGACATGGTCACCAAAAGAATCTGCAAGTACATTTATAATTATAGTTTTCACCTAGTCATTTAAGTTATGCAGAATATTTTGCTAATTTATGTTTACATTTTGCCAAACATATTGCACTTGAGTTGAATTACATATATTTGATGTGAATAATCTCTGTCTCTTTCAGAAATAGTTGTTGCAGAAAGTGTGGTTGTTATAAAGAAATTACTGCAAATGCAACCTGCACAACATGGTGAAATTATTAAACATATGGGCAAACTCTTGGACAGTATCACTGTGAGTATCTTTGAGGAGACATTTGCTGAGTTCTCCTGAATTTTACATAGTAAATTATAGTCTTGTTAAAATAAATGATCGTGTTCAAATGTAGTAGTTAAGAGAGCCTAGTATCTGCATCCAAATTCTGGTTCTAAGATTTCTTCTGTTTATGAGGGGATTACAGATCTGAAAAGGACAAAGGACAGAATGAACCCTGCAATGTTGGGTTTGAATTCAAGAGAGTAATGTTTGCTTCATAGGTTTTTATGTAGAGATAGCTAGTAGCTAGATGTTACATGAAAGTCTCTCTCATACATATACGAATATGTGTGTGTTTGTATGGCTCTGAACTGATTTATGTGTCACATATGAGTGTGTAAATGAGTGTACAAACATCTATATCCCAGGGTTGTGCTTTAAGCATTGGTAACACAATACCCCAGTACCAATGAGCATACCTCATGCAAAATCTTGTTTTATTTATTATTGAGATACAATTTCATACCATAAAATTTACCTTTTAAAGGTTGTAATTCATTAGGTTTTGGTATATTCATAAGGTTGTGTAACTATCACCACTATGTAATTGCAAAACATTTTCATTACTCAGAAGAAAAAAATAAATCCCATACTCCAAACCCCTTAGCCTCCTTACCTCTGTTCTCCGGCCACCACTAACCTGCTTACGGTCTCTGCAGATTTGCCTATTCCAGGTATATCATATAAATAAAATCATATAGTATGTGGACTTTAATTTCTGGCTTCATTCATTTAACATGTTTTTAAGGTTCATGCATGTTGTAAGATGTACTAGTACTTTGTTCCTTTTCATAGTAGATCTTGGTTTTAAAATACATTCTGTACTTAGAGAAATGGCTGATTTAAGAGCTGGCATAAAAAAGAACAAGTCAAATTTAGAATATCTTATTGTACAAATAAATGCAAGGAAGTGCTTACAAAATTATAGAGACATATAAGAAGGATGTAAGAGCCAGCATGTGGGGGAATGGGGTTCCCATTGGCCAATTTCAGCAATAAAATAAATGATAGTAAAAGGATTATAACTTATTGAATATAAGAATCCTTAAGTCCACACTGAATAGACAATGGATGGATGGATGAATAGAGGAGAAGGGGGAGCTCTTCCTTATAGGTCAAGAAAGCTAATAAATGTAGACGGAATGATAGGATTAGAATATTATCGTCTGCCGCCATCACAGTTTTTAGTCAGGTAAGAATTATTAACAGATGCCAAAAACTAGCAGGTGAAAATTTGCAAATGACAGTATAGTCTTAAAGTATAACTTCATAAACTACTTCTTAATTACAGAGGTTCAAATAGTGACATATGATGGAGAAACATGACAGACACCACTTTAACCAAGTGAACATAATGAACCCTACCTGTATTGAGATCATGTACTTTCTTATAGGATACAATGAAAAGAAGTCAGCATTAAGGCTATTGTGTGCCTGCCCAAAATGAATGGTGTGGATCTAATCATTAGGAAGTAGGAGAAAAACCAGTGCAAAAATGTTGATGTTATGAGATGCAAAGAATAACTCAGATAGTTTTTCATATTAAAAGAAACTGAAAGGACATGACAATACTATGCAACATACAATTTGGAGTTTTCTTCTGCCATAAAGCATATTGTAGGGACAGCTGACAGAATCTCAAAATCTAGTGGTGGGGATTTAGCTCAGTGGTTCTGCCACCTGCTTTGCAAGCGCAAGGACCCGAGTTTGATCCCCGATACAAAAAAAAAAAAAAAAATCTCAAAATCTATAGATTAGGCAATACTGATTTAGTTTAATATCCTGATTTAAAAACTATTCTGTTGTAGTTATATAAGAGCATTTCTTTTTTAAAGGAAATTTACATGGAAGTATTTTGGAGTATAAGGCATGTCTACGACTTTTATTGATTAAGAAAATGAAATGTGAATGTATACCTAGAATAATAACTAACACAAGGTTAGTAAAATGTTCATATTGGGGAATTTGGTTGAAGGATATCCAGAAATTCTTGGAATTATTCTGTAAATCTGAAATTATGTAAGAATTAAATTTGGAAAGTATTAATCCTGAATCTGTCCCTTCTGGCTCTGTGTCCTTACATTAAAATGTTGGTTCCTAACCTTTCCTATCTGCAAAATTTTGGTAGCGAAAGAACCTGTGCTATGGTATTGTTAAGTATTCCATTAGGTGATACATATGATGCTCTTAGCAAATAGGCTGGCAGGCCTCTAGTGGTGCTGCCTAAGGGTTTGTCCTACTTCATGCTCTTCTCTTCTGAACTAAAGTTTCTGAATAAATTATCGGAAAATAATTTTATTTCCTTACTTTAGTCTCACTCTTCAACCCATCACAGTCTGATTTTGACTCCCCACTGCTCCACTAATTCTGTTTTTCCTGAAGTTATTGCCTCTTCTTATTAAATCCAGTCGGTAATTTTCTGTTCCTCTGTTGCTTGATCTTTTGTTAGCTCTTGGCTTCACTAATCACTTCTCTTTTGAAACATTTTCCCTTTGTAAGTAGTTTTTGTTACATACTTTCCTGATTTTTCTTCATCTCCTCAGCCATTTTCTTCCCCATTGTATTTGCCTTTTACTATGCCTATCACTTGGGTGTTGGTGTTTTTTATTTGTTTTGTTGGTTTTGGTTTGGTCTGGTTGATCTCCCCTTAGCCTCCCCTAAGTGCTGGGATTATGGGCATCACCACCATACTTGGCTTTGAGTGCTGATTTTAAATTTTGCCAACTAAAGTTCTGTTATGAATAGAGTAGTAGTTTATAGAGGAGTGATTTCCTTCTTTGAACATGGGATAGTTGTATAGTTCAAGGTAATAAATGACTAAATTGAGAGCCTACTAATGAAGACCAAGTTTTAAGTATCTCTGGTGGCAAATTTTCATTCCCTGAGGGAATTATTAAAGCTTGCAGGGCAGTTCTACATTTATTTTAAAGGTTAGAATGACAAAACTAAAAAGTTGCTTAGCGCCTGAGATTCTACCACCTCTTACCAGAGAGTTGCTTTCTCTTGATACTTATTTTTATTGTTGATTCTAAGAATCAAAGCCAGAATTTCTTAAAAGTATTGTGTATTATGAAGGGGTTAGAGTGAATTTGAAAACCAGATGACTTGTTTAAATTTAGTGTCTTCCTTTTACTAGCTTTGTGAACTAAGTCAAATCACTTCGTGTTCTGATTTTGTCATATGTAAAATGAGGACTATTATAGTAGCTACTTTATACCGCTATTTGCAAGGAATAAGTGAACCAATATATGTGTAATACTTAGAACATTGCTTAGTATAAGCTGTATCAAAGTTAGGTTGGGTGTTTTCAAAGATGAACTTTATGATAAGATGGAAAATCTGTAAGTTTCCATGTAGCCATGTTTATATTTTACTTATCTATTTAATGTAATTCCTATACTGTTATCATTTGCCAGGCACTATTTATTCTGAGCACCTTCAGTACATAAGTCATTAATTTTAATGACAATCCTATGAGGTGGATTCTATTAATATTCCCATTTTACATATGAGAAAACTGAGGTAAGAGATTAATTTGCCCAAGATCACACAGTAGGTCTGTTTTCTTAATGAGTATGATATATCTTGTTTCCATTTATAATCTTTTAAAAATTATTTTATTTTTAATTCTCACATGTTAATTCTGTGTATTTATGGAGCAGTCTGTGTTTTGCATTTGTTGACATGCCTATTGAGTGACCTGGCCAGGATTTTGTTACTACTCCTTTTGCTTCCCAAAAGTCATTGATAGATTTGGGAATTAGGTTGATGTAGTCCATATTTGCCCAAATATAGAATAGATGTTTGACATTATTTGGGTTTTTTTTGTTTTGTTTTGTTTTTGGTACTGGGGATTGAACTCAGTTCCTTGCGCTTGCACAGCAGGTGGCAGAACCACTGAGCTAAATCCCCAGCCCCCCCCCCCCTTTTTTTTTTTTTGGTACCGGGGATCGAACTCGGGTCCTTAGCTTGTGAGGCAGGTGATGGAACCACTGGATGTTTGACATTATTTAAGTCATTGTTAAGTAACTGTTGATGGAAAATAAGAAGGTAAACTATTTTCTTCATAGGTGAGCATTCCTATCCACTGAGCAACGATTTCCTTAGTATATTGAGACATGGTAGCAACCACAAATACCTCCTACACATATATAGTAACTCCTATAGAAATGGTTCAGCCGGCTTTAAGAATCACTTCCCTAACCAACAGCTAATGAGTGAACACAGAATACTTTGTCTAGAAAGACAAAGGTTGGCGATACACACAATATATGTATGGATTGTACACATAATTCATTGTATAGTGATATCATTGTAAAGAATTTCTAACAAAATGCTAAATGAGAACTTTTGAAAAAGAAGGGGGGCAAAATATAAGGGAAATTCTAGTTTAGAACTGAAAACACTAAATAATCTTAGGAATACTTATGAATGGGATGAGATGGAGGTCAGAATAAAAAGACTGAAGGTTTCATGAGAGAAAGAGAGTGGAGGGAAGTGAAATTATTGTAATAGTCTCATGTTGTACAGAGAAGTAGTTAAGTAAAAGATTACTTTGGTGAAAACTAGGGTTTGGTGAGAGAAATAGTTAATATCTGTTTTTCAAAAAATGATAGAAAAGAATGTGATTATAAGAAAATGGAAATGTGGAGTTGTGTATCCCCAAACTTTTGTGCAAAACTTAAATAAAACTTATGCTAGTATGTTCTAATTTTGTTAGAAAGAAGCAATTATAAGTGTTAAGGTTTCAGGAGAATGTAGCTATTTGTACATAAAACCTGACAGTGTGTGTGTGAGACCTATTTTAGGCAAACTTCAGATTTTTTTAGAAGGAAAGTTTGTCATATTTAACTGTATCCCTGTCTTGAGCTACAGTATATTTTTGATTGCACTGACTTTCTCCACACTGGTTGTTGGAATATTAACCAAGCAAATATTTTCTTACAGATCTGTATAGTAAAGTTTAATTTCCTTGCCTT